AAAGAAAGAAAGAAAGAAAGAAAGAAAGAAAGAAAGAAAGAAAGAAAAGAAAAGAAAGAAAGAAAGAAAGAAAGAAAAGAAAGAAAGAAAGAAAGAGAATCAGTGAATATTCACCAAGGCTCCCAGGGCTAGGCCAAGCACTAGAGCTCAGGATAAGGAGATGACTCAGACCAGGCCCCAGACACTTGCAGTCTAATTGTGGAGCCAGACACGGAAGTGAGGAATTCAAGTATCTTGTGAGAAGTGCTAGAACAACAGTATCTGTATGATGCTCTGGGAATTCACAGCCCAAAGCAGCCACCTCTGCCTGAGGTTGGTAGGGAGACTTCACAGAGGCGAAACTGAGCACATGCTTGAGGGATGAGGAAGAGGTTTGAGGGGAAGACAGAGGGTGTCCCAAGCAGAGGGATCAGCATCTGCAAAGCTGTGGAAATGTGAGACCCTACACACTGGTTCAGGAAGCTTCAGCAAATCCTATTGAAAGAACCAATGGGAAGTCAGGCATGGTGGCTCATGCCTGTAATCTCAGCTACCCGGGAGGCTGAGGCTAGAGGATCGCTTGAGCCCAGGAGTTCAAGACCAACCTGAGCAACAAAGCAAGACCATATCTCTAAAAATTCAGAAAAAAAGGCTGGGCATGGTGGCTCATGCCAGTAATCCCAGCACTTTGGGAGGCCAAGGCAGGCGGGATTGCCTGAGGTTAGGAGTTCGAGACTAGCCTGGCCAACATGGTGAAACCGTCTCTACTAAAAACACAAAAATTAGGTGTGTGTGGTGGCAGTTGCCTGTAATCTCAGCTACTCAGGAGGCTGAGGCAGGAGAATCACTGGAACCCGGGAGGCAGAGGTTGTAGTGAGCCAAGATCACACCATTGCACTCCAGCCTGGGAGACAAGAGCAAAACTCCATCTCAAAAAATAAAAATAAAAAATAAATCAGAAAAAAAGAACCAAGGGGGTACAAAATTTAATTTGTTTACATATATTTAATACCTGATCTCCCTCCTCTGGTAAAATGTCAGCAACATGAGGGCAGGAAGTTTGCCTTATTCTCTGCTAGATACTACAGTAGTGCCTGTTACCCACTGAATATGTTGTGAATGAATAAAAGGAAGGTAGGCAGGGCACACAGTGGATGGTGTTGACAGTCTGCTAAAGCATTTGGGCTTTCTCCTGGAGTAAGTGGGAAGCCTTTGGAAGTTTTAAAGTGGAAAAGAAGCAAGATTTGATGTGGGTGGTAGGAAATCACTTTGATAGTGATGTGAAGACTGTCAAAATGGAGTAAAAATGGAGCAGTGGGAGCAGATTGAAAAAAATATTGATAATTCCACACAATTAACAAGTAGCTTTGGTGGGGCACGGTGGCTCACACCTGTAATCCTAGCACTTTGGGAGGCTGAGGATGGAGGATTGCTTGAGGCCAGGAGTCCAAGATGGCCTGGGCAACATAGTGAGACCTCCTCTACAAAAAATGTAAAAAAAAAAAAAAAAACCAAAATTAGCCAGGCACAGTGGCACGCATCTGTGGTCCTAGCTACTTGAGAGGCTGAGGAAGGAGGCTCACTTAAGGCCAGGAGTTTGAGACCAGCCTGGGCAACATAGCACAACACCGTCACTACTTTTTTTAGTTTTTATTTACATATTTTTTGAGACAAAGTCTCACTCTGTCGCCCAGGCTGGAGTACAGTGGCACGATCTTAGCTCACTGCAGCCTCCGCTTCTCGTGTTCAAGCAATTCTCCTGCCTCAGCCTCCCAAGTAGCGGGGACTACAGACGCCCGCCACCACAACCGGCTAATTTTTGTATTTTTTTACTAGAGACAGGGTTTTGCCATGTTGGCCAGGTGGGTCTCGAACGCCAGACCTCGGGTGATCTGCTTCCAAAGTGCTAGGATTACAGGTGTGAGACACTGTGCCCGGCATTCAAGGCTACTTTTTTTTTTTTTTTTTTTGAGACGGAGACTCGCTTTGTTGCTCAGGCTGGAGTGCAGTGGTAGATCTCGGCTCACTGCAAGCTCAGCCTCCCGGATTCACACCATTCTCCAGCCTCAGCCTCCCAAGTAGCTGGGACTACAGGTGCCCGCCCCCACGCCCGGCTTTTTTTTTTTTTTTTTTTTTAGTAGAGACGGGGTTTCACCGTGTTAGCCAGGATGGTCTCAATCTCCTGACCTCGTGATCTACCAGCCTTGGCCTCCCAAAGTATTGGAATTACAGGCGTGAGCCACCGCGCCCGGCCCAAAGCTACATTTTAAAAAATAAAAATAGGCTGGGTGCGGTGGCTCACGCCTGTAATCCCACCACTTTGGGAGGCCGAAGCGGGCAGATCACCTGAGGTCAGGAGTTCGAGACCAGCCTGGTCAACATTGCGAAATCCCGTCTTTACTAAAAATACAAAAATTAGCCGGGTGTGGTGGTGCGCGCCTGTAATCCCAGCTACTCGGGAGTCTGAGGCAGGTGAATCGCTTGAACCCGGGAGGCGGAGGTTGCAGTGAGCCGAAATCGCACCACTGCACTGCAGTCTGGGCGACAGAGCGAGACTCGGTCTCAAAAATAAATAAATAAATAAAAATAAAATATAAAAAGTAGGTTTGATTTTTACAATATTCCTGAGCAGCAGGCTTTTCTCCCTTTTGCAGATGCGCAATGTCTTGGCCGGAGATACATCCAAGTCTTCGGTGTAGCCTGGGGGTTCAATCCTCCTGTGGCGCCCCACAACCCGGTGCCTCCTCCAACGTCCAGCATCTGATGAGGATCCGACCTAGGCTGGCGGTGGCGGGATTCGCTCTTCCCCTTGGGTCCCCTCGAAAAAGCCCCTAGGGCCGCAGCGGCGCAAAGCTGGTATCAGCGGAAGCTCAGGCGGGAGGCGGGAGGCGCGAGGCGGCAGGAGGGAGTTTGGGCCTCGGCGGCCGCCGTAAAAAACGCCGCTCTGGTCACCATGGCAACAGCTGGATGCCGCGAACGGCTTCTGGGCGGAGCCGGTGCCTCGGCCTATTGGACCCAGCTCGGCGCGGAATCCGTGAATTGCCCGCGGCCCGAGGGTGCAGGTGATGGGGGCGGACCGACCGGGGAAGCCCGGGGTGTAGGGACTGAAGAGGGGAGTGGTCTGGGGCGCGCTGGAGCCTGCGAGGAAGGCGCCGCCTCGGATCCCCCGCCTCCCATTCCCTTTCCCGAATTCCACCCTCTGGCCCAGCGATGGCCTCAGTTTCCCCAAACAGGAAAGGGAAGGAGGGTGGGCACCCCGGTCTAACGGTGCCTCTCAGCCCCTGAGACCCAGAACCTTCCTTCTGCAGCTCCCGGATTGACTGGCTCTGCCCTGCCCCATGGACGTAAGTCCGGGCCCCTTCCCCTCTCTGAGCCCCCTCAGCGCCCTGTCCTCACCCCGACTGAGCCTGCCTTCCAGCACGGACTGGGGAGGGGGCTTCTACCCAACAGAGACTACACCCTGCCAGCTCAGGACGAGAACTGTGAGGAAGAGTGCCAGGAATGGACTTCCCACGGGAGAGCACATTTCTGGTATTCCTGGCAAGATGAGGAGGTTGACCAAGTAATCCAGGAGAAAAGGCATTTCCGGCAGAGGAAACAGCCTGGGGGTGAGAGGGAGGCTGCAGCATTTGGGGAATTGCTAGGGCTATCATGTGTTTGGAAGAGAAGGAGGGAGAGAGGTAGGCAGGACTAAACTGGGAATTTTGTCACTGACATAAGTTTTAAGTGCCAGGTGTGGTGGCTGTCGCCTGTAATTCCAGCTACTGAGGAGGCTGAGGTGGGAGGATCGTTTAAGCCCAGGAGCTCGAGGCTGCAGCGAGCCATGATCTTGCCGCTGCATTCCAGCCTGAGTGACAGAGTGAGACACTGTCTCTAAGAAAAATAGCCAGGTGCGGTGGCTCATGCTTGGAATCCCAGCACTTTGGGAGGCCGAGGTGGGTGGATCACCTGAGATTAGGAGTTCAAGACCAGCCTGGCCAACATGGCGAAACCCCCTCTGTACTAAAAATACAAACATTAGCTGGGCGTGGTGGCGCGCGCCTTTTATCCCAGCTACTTGGGAGGCTGAAGTAGGAGAATCCCTTGAACCCGGATGGCAGAGGTTGCATGACCGAGATCGCCCCACTGCACTCCAGCCTGGGTGACAGAGTGAGACTCTATCTCAATAATAATAATAAAATAAATAAATAAAAGAAAAAGTTTTAAGTGAGTTACTGGGAGCCATTGATGGATTGTAAGGGAGGGAGGGATACACAAGGACATCTGGTATGGAAAAGGGGAAAAATTGCAGGTTGGATGACAGGGGCCGGTAATGTGAGCTGAGGGATGGTAAAGGAGTGGCAGGGGAGTCAGAGACAAGAGATCTCTTTGGAGAGGCATTCCAGAAGGAAAATCAGTAAGCCCTAGAAGACTCTAGAATGCAGAAGTGCTTGATGGTGCTAAACTGGAAATGATAGGGAAAAAGGCAGGCTCAGGGCACAAGATAATGAGTCAGGGTGTAGTCCCATTGATGCTCTCCCCACCATCTGGTGGCCGTTCCTCTCCCACCGGCCTCCGCGTCCCTCATGGTATTCCCGTGTTCCTGCAACCCCTCTCCACCTCCTTGTCACCCCTTCCCCCTGTGCTCGTCCAGGCCTCCTCTAGTCCATGGAATCCAACCCCGGCTCCTGTCAGCAGCCCTCCCCTGCTGCTCCCCATCCCTGCCATCGTCTTCATCGCTGTGGGCATCTATTTGTTGCTGCTGGGTCTAGTCCTGCTGACTAGGCACTGCCTTCTGGTGAGGGGTCTGGTGGGGAATAAAGGGTGGGCTCTGGGGAAGAGGAATCCCGTTAACCTGTCCCTTCATCTGCAGGCTCTTACCCTGAGACACTTGACATTTAGCCCTGCATCTATCCGTTTTATAGTACCAGGGGTTCCCTCCTCTCCTGTCCCCAGCCAAACCTTTTCCTGCCCCCTCGGGAAAGCTGGCTCGGCTGTCACTATCTGCTGCCTGTTCCACATCCTGAACCCTGTGATCTAGGCCCAGGGCTGCTGCGCAGACGGTAGCTCCCCCTGCAGGAAGCAAGGTGCCTCAGGGCCCCCAGACTGCTGCTGGACCTGTGCAGAAGCCTGCGACTTTCCTCTGCCTAGCCCGGCCCACTTCCTGGATGCCTGCTGCCCCCAGCCCACCGGAGCTGTGAGTTCCATTCCTACCCCCTGCCCCGCTAAGCCCTGATCTAGGAATGATAGGTGCATTCATTTTTTTGCTCAACAACATTTATTACTGAGCACCTTCTCAAGGCCAGGCACGGTTCCGGGGTGTGAGTCACGTGGAGACAGGTAAAAACAACCTATCAGATAATATCTGGTGAAAGTTACTTGAAGAAAATAAAATAGGGTGTCAGCCGGAGAAAGGTGATGTGGGTGACAAAAAACAGCTCACACAGCTCCTTTCCGTTCACTGAATGAACTATGTTCCAGGTATAGGACCTCTTTACTGACCTCATTGTTTTTCCCAACAACCCTGAGAACTGAGAACTGAGTTTCTTTTTTTTTTTACTTTCCTCCTTCCAGAGCTGGGTTTTTTTTTTTCTTTCTTTCTTTATTTTTGTTGTTGTTGTTTGAGACAGGGCCTCACTCTCTCACCCAGGCTGGAGTGCTGTAGCGCAATCTTGGCTCACCACAACCTCCACGTCCCAGGCTCAAGCAATTCTCCTGCCTCAGCCTCCTGAGTAGCTGGGATTACAGGTGCACACAACTACCATACAGCTAATTTTGGTATTTTTAGTATAGATGGGGTTTCACCACGTTGGTCAGGCTGGTCTCAAACTCCTGACCTCAAATGATCCACCCGCCTTGGCTGCCCAAAGTGCTGGGATTACAGGTGTGAGCCACCATGGCCCAGCCATGGTTTTTTTTTTTGTTTTTTTTTTTTTGAGTCGGAGTCTAGCTCTGTTGCCCAGGCTGGAGTGCAATGGCGTAATCTCAGCTTGCTGCAACTTCCACCTCCTGGGTTCAAGCAGTTCTCCCGCCTCAGCCTCCTGAGTAGCTAAGATTATAGGCGTGCACCACCACGCCCAGCTAATTTTTGTTTTTTTTTTTTTTTTTTTTTTTTTTTTTTTTGAGAAGGAGTCTGGCTCTGTGGCCCAGACTGGAGTACAGTGGCCGGATCTCAGCTCACTGCAAGCTCCGCCTTCCGGGTTTACGCCATTCTCCTGCCTCAGCCTCCCGAGTAGCTGGGAACACAGACGCCCGCCACCTCGCCCGGCTAGTTTTTTGTATTTTTTAGTAGAGACGGGGTTTCACCGTGTTAGCCAGGATGGTCTCGATCTCCTGACCTCGTGATCCGCCCGTCTTGGCCTCCCAAAGTGCTGGGATTACAGGCTTGAGCCACCGCGCCCGGCTATTTTTGTTATTTTTAGTAGAGATGCGGTTTCACCATGTTGGCCAGGCTGGTCTTGAACTCCTGACCTGGTGATCTGCCCGCCTCAGCCTCCCAAAGCAAAGTGCTAAGATTATAGGCGTGAGCCACTGAGCCTGGCCGTTTTTTTTTTTGTTTGTTTGTTTTTTCAGAGATAGAGTTTTGGTCTGTCACCCAGGCTAGAGTGCAGTGGCACAATCACAGCTCACTGCAGCCTTGAACTCCTGGAGAGCTGGGTATTTTTTAAAACCTATATGTTTTTTTGATTACAGAAAGTATTACTTACAAAGTATACATATAGAAATACACAGAAAGTACCAATCACTTTACAAACCCGCTCTCTATCCCAAAGTTGCTGTTTTATATGTATCTCTCATATACTAATATACAGTACTATCACTGCTGTATTTTACTATTATTTGGCAAAAATTGGGTGCTATCACGTAGGTTATTTCATCATACCTGCTACTGTTCCTCTATCCCCCGCCTTTTTTGAGATAGGATCTTGCTTTGTCACCCAGGCTGGAGTCCGGTAGTGCAATCATAGCTCACTGCAGCCTCTACCTCCTGGGCTCAAGCAATCCTTCCACCTCAGCCTCAGCCTCCTGAGTAGCTGAGACTACACACCCAGTTAATGTTTGTATCTTTCGCAGAGACGGGGTTTCATGATGTTTCCCAGGCTGGTGTTAAACTTCTGGGCTCAAGTGATCCGCCATCCTCAGCCTCCCAAAGTACTGGGATTACAGGTGTAAGCCACCATGCCCATGCCCAGCCTCTACTTGCCCTTTTTTTTTTTTTTTTTTTTTGAGACAAGTCTTGCTCTTGTTGCCCAGGCTTGAGTGCAATGGTGCCATCTCGGCTCACTGCAATCTCCGCCTGCTGGGTTCAAGTGATTCTCCTGCCTCAGCCTCCCGAGTAGCTGGGATTACAGCGATGCGCCACCACGCCTGGCTAATTTTGTATTGTTAGTAGAGATGGAGTTTCTCCATGTTGGTCAGGCTGGTCTCCAACTCCTGACCTCAGGTGATCTGCCTGCCTCGGCCTCCTAAAGTGCTGGAATTACAAATGTGAGCCACCGGGCTCAGCCTCTACTTGCCCTTTTTAACCTGACATCACACTTGGCCACCTATCCGTGCCTGTGCGTGCAGACATGCAGGGGTTACTGTCCTCCTCCTGCAGCGGGGAGTAAGCTGGCTTAGGGAAGTTTAGTGGCTTCTCCAGAGTGTTAGGCAGGAGAATCTTGCATCACAAATAGCTCCACAGCGTTAACTGAAGTAGAATCCTCAGGGGAGAAGCCTGGCTTGCAGACAGGCCTGTTTGCATTTGTGGGTTTAAAGATGTTAAATGTAATTGACCACCTTCCTGAGGAATGATTATTTTGGGCTCAGAGATTCAGACAGCAAAGTGCCTGCCCTTGGAGTGGTGACCTTCCTTCCCTAGGACGGAAGGGGAGGATAAAAGCAAATTCATAACCTAGGTACACGATGATTGGTGCTAATCCCTGGCGTGTTTTCAGTTTTGAAGTAAATTGTGGAGCAAGGAGCGCTTTTTCAGACAATCGGCTTCTGGTTTCCTAGGGGCAGTCAGGAGAGGGGTCCCAGGGTTGGAGCTGAGGGGGCAGAAGGGCAAAAGGAGGAGACCTTGGGTTCTGAAAACTCCTGTCTTGGCGTGGTGGTACTCGCCTGTAATCCCAGTTACTGGAAAGGCTGAGGCAGGAGAATTGCTTGAACCCGGGAGGTAGAGATTGCAGTGAGCTGAGATCGTGCCACTGCACTCCAGCCTGGGTGACAGAGTGAGACTCCGTCTCAAAAACAAAACAAAACAAAACAACCTCCTGTCTTATAGGAGATACTCCATTATAAAATGATTTCTGGCCCCCTGTCCTGGGGATGCCACCTCCTACTCCTTCTGTCTACTTGAAATGAATAGCCAGGGACTCATCGCCTCGTTGGGCGAGAGGATGGGTGAGGTGCATTGTAAGGATGGACTGGGCCCTCCCACCTTCCCCAGGAACTTTAAAACCTGGAGACATCAGGGCCTGATCCTCTCCGGTTTCCGCTGGAGCTCGGAAGGGATTTAGCAGGGTGGAGGGCGGGGCAGATTCTTTCTGTCCTTGAGCTGCCTTTCCACAAAGTACATTTAAGTCCCTCCCTCTTCAGTTTCCCTGTAATAACAGCCAGGAAGGTTACAAATGTCTTGCCACGTGGCAGCTGTAGACACTGAGGCTTATGGAGGCTGGAGTGACTTGGAGGTTATATGACTGGACCAGCTGGAACAGAAACCCAGGTTTTTCTTCATTACTGAGGGAGAAACCTGCCGGCTCCCCTGCTCTGCTTCTGTGGGTTTTTTTCTTTTTGAGACAGAGTCTCGTTCTGTCACCCACGCTGCAGTGCAGTGGTGCGATCTCGGCTCACTTCAACCTCCGCCTCCTGGGTTCAAGCCTCCCGAGTAGCTAGGATTACAGGCGCGTGCCACCACACCTGGCTAATTTTTTGTATTTTTAGTAGAGATGAGTTTTCATCGTGTTAGCCAGGATGGTCTTGATCTCCTGACCTCGTGATCCACCCGCCTTGGCCTCACAAAGTGCTGGGATTACAGGCATGAGCCACCATGCCTGGCCTGCTCTGCTTCTTTCATGTACATGTTGCAAGGTTCTCATTCATTCGTTCGTTCATTGACTCACTCACCAAAGATTTATGGAGTTACTGTTGACGCACTGTCTAGGGCCCTGGGGACTCAGCAGAAACAAGATAGAGAAGGTCCCCATCCTCGCAGGGCTTCCATTCTGGTGATGGAGAGAGAGAAATAATTAGGCCATTACAACAGTGGGTGAGAAATGGCGTGCTCTGGAGCAGCGGTTGCTTCGCCCTGCATGCGGTCAGAAACAGGTATGGGACTTGAAAGCCAGGCATCTAGGCCCCACACTCAGGTCTGGGCTGGGGCTAGAGTTTGTGAATCTTTTACGAGTTCTCACATGATTCTGATGCACACCAGCTTAAGAACCACTGCTGAGGGAAGAGGCTATGATAAGAATAGCTCTCATTTTATTTTTTTTTTTTTTTTTTTTTTTTTTTTCCAGACAGGGTCTCCCTCTGTCACCCAGGCTGGAGTGCAGTGCTCCCTCTGTTGCCCAGGCTGGAATGCAGTGGTGCGATCTTGGCTCACTGCAACCTTTGCCTCCCAGGTTCAAGTGATTCTCCTGACTCAGCCTCCCAAGTAGCTGAGATTACAGGCACCTGCCACCAGGCCCGGCTAAATTTTGTATTTTTAGTAGAGACAGGGTTTCACCATGTTGGCCAGGATGGTCTTGATCTCCTGACCTCGTGATCCGCCCGCCTCGGCCTCCCAAAGTGCTGGGATTACAGGTGTGAGCCACTGCACCCGGAAATTTTTGTATTTTTTTTTTGAGACGGAGTCTCACTCTGTCGCCCAGGCTGGAGTGCAGTGGCGGGATCTCGGCTCACTGCGAGCTCTGCCTCCCGGGTTCACGCCATTCTCCTGCCTCAGCCTCCCCAGTAGCTGGGACTACAGGTGCCCGCCACCATGCCCAACTAATTTTTTGTATTTTTAGTAGAGACAGGGTTTCACCGTGTTAGCCAGGATGCTCTCGATCTGATCTTGTGATCTGCCTGCCTCAGCCTCCCAAAGTGCTGGAATTACAGGCGTGAGCCACTGCACCCAGCCTATTTTATTCTTTTGAGATGGAGTCTCACTCTGTTGCCCAGGCTGGAGTGCAGTAAAACAATCTCAGCTCACTGCAATCTCCACCTCCCAGGTTTAAGCAAGTCTCCCACCTCAGCCTCCTGAGTAGCTGGGACCACAGGCATGTGCCACCATGCCCAGCTAATTTTTGTTTGTTTGTTTGTTTTTTAGAAAGTATCGTTCTGTCACCAGGCTGCAGTGCAGTGACATGATCTCTGCTCACTGCAACCTCCGCCTCCTGGGTTCAAGCGATTCTCCTGCCTTAGCTTCCTGAGTAGCTGGGATTACAGGTGTCCACCACCACACCCGGCTAATTTTTTGTATTTTTAGTAGAGACGAGGTTTTGCCATGTTGCCCAGGCTGGTTTCGAACCCCTGAGCTCAGACAATCCGCCCACCTCGGCCTCCCAAAGTGCTGGGATTACAGGTGTGAGCCACTGCACCCGGAAATTTTTGTATTTTTTTTTTGAGACGGAGTCTCACTCTGTCGCCCAGGCTGGAGTGCAGTGGCGGGATCTCGGCTCACTGCAAGCTCTGCCTCCCGGGTTCACGCCATTCTCCTGCCTCAGCCTCCTGAGTAGCTGGGACTATAGGCGCCCGCCACCGTGCCCGGCTAATTTTTTGTATTTTTAGTAGAGACGGGTTTCACCGTGGTCTCGATCTCCTGACCTTGTGATCCGCCCGCCTCGGCCTCCCAAAGAATTTTTGTATTTTTAATAGAGATGAGGTTTCACCATGTTGGCCAGGCTAGTCTTGAACTCCTGATCTCAGGTAGTCCGCCCGCTTCGACCTCCCAAAGTGCTGGGATTACAGGTGTGAGCCACTGCACCCAGCCTTAGGTGTTATATTTGTTGCAGAAATGAGGAAACTGAGGGCTGAAAACATGAATTAGCCAAGCTGAGGTTCAAACCCAGGCCTTACTGACTCTAGGGCCTGAGCTTTAACCATCACTACGATGATGGCTGGCTGTCAGAGTCAACGGGAAAAATTCAAGTGAAAAACTCTCCTGAGCGCCAAGAGAGACACAAGGGTTAACAGTCTTGCAGAGTCCTTGTTTAATGTACTTAAACAGCAGATTCCTTCCAGAAGCCACATGGCTGCTTGTAACAGTTGAGAAATCCATTAGCCAGTTATTAATGACAAGATCTAAACCCTTTCAAGGGAGAGAGCCAAGAAATGCTTTTAATACCCTCTTTTCTGAGGTAATGGCAGCAGAGCCTCTCTCAGCCACGGGTTCTGTGCACAGAATGATGGTGTGGTCCTTCAGAAACCCGCAGAAGCGATTTCATCCCCACACTGGGACTCCCTAGAGACACCCCAAATCACGCCCTCATCAAACACAGGAAAATCAGTTCTCTCTCCCTTCCACCATGACAGTTCTAGCCTCCCACCAGGAGGCAGTTCTGTTGACAGTAGCACAGCCCAATTCAGACCCCTGTCCCTGCAGGTGGCAGGTCCCCTCCCCTCACTGCAGCCCCTAGTGATATCTGATCTCACCAGCCATCTGACACTGCACCCCGAAACCTCAGCTACTGGAAAGGTCATTCCCCTATTCCTGGCTTGGCCAAGTTTCTGATTGAACTGTACAACTGTGACTGTCACTACCTCTGCCTCTGGCCTCAAGGAGCCAGTCTTCTGTCACACAGCCATCCTGGGCCACTTCAGCCATTTGGCCTGACTCCAGCCCATGCCTAAGGCAGCTGCAGGTCATCCCTGTCCCAGGGGAGGACAGCAGTGCACTGGATAGACCAGTTCTCCCTTCTTGCCTCTAAGTACATGCTGTTCCTATTCCCCAAGAGACAGACCTTGTTTCCTTCAGAAGCTGAGAAGCCCTCTTCTTTCTTCTTTGCCTAAAGAAGACAAATGATATGCTTAGATTCATCCATTCATTCAGCATTCATTTATATCTCAGATGCCTGCTGAGCATGAGTCCTGTGCTAGCTCAGTGGAGAATATGGGATGAGCTGCCCCCGCCCTGGCAGACCCAGAGAGAGGCTGATGCTCCTAGCGCTGGGAGGCAGAGGGCTCAAAGGGGATTGCAGGCAGGACTGTACATCCCAGCTCCATTCTCATCACTTGACTCTCTGTCTCTGCCTCTATTTCCTTTTTTTTTTCTTCTGAGACCAAGTCTCGCTCTGTCGCCCAATTGCTTGGGTTCAAGCAATTCTCCTGTCTCGCTCTCCCGAGTAGCTGGGACTACAGGCGCAGGCCACCACACCCGGCTGATTCTTTTTTATTTTTAGTAGAGACGGGGTTTCACCATGTTAGCCAGGATGGTCTCGATCTACTGACCTCGTGATCCACCCGCCTCAGCCTCCCAAAGTGCTGGGATTACAGGAGTGAGCCACCACTCCCAGCTTCTTTTTTTTTTTTTTTTTTTTTTTTGAGGCAGAGTCTTGTTCTGTTGCCCAGGCTGGAGTTCAATGGGTCGATCTCAGTTCACTGCAGCCTCTGCCTCCCAAGCTCAAGCGATTCTCCTGCTTCAGGCTTCTGAGTAGCTGGGATTACAAGTGCACGCTACCACGCCCAGCTAATTTTTGTGTTTTTAGTTGAGAAGAGGTTTCGCCATGTTAGCCCAGCTGGTCTTGAATTCCTGACCTCAAGTGATCCGCCCACCTTGGCCTCCCAAATTGTTGGGATTACAGGCGTGAGCCACCTTGTCCAGCCATCCATTTTCTCTTTTGTAAAGAAGCCCATTACTCAGGATTCTGATAATTAAAAGATATAAGGCTGGGCGCAGTGGCTCACACCTGTAATCCCAGCACTTTGGGAGGCCAAGGTGGGTGGATCACCTGAGGTCAGGAATTCAAGACCAGCCTGACTAACATGGTGAAACCCCGTCTCTACTAAAAATACAAAAATTAGCCGGGTGTACTGGTGGGCACCTGTAATTCCAGCTACTCAGGAGGCTGAGACAGGAGAATCACTTGAACCTGGGAGGCAGAGGTTGCAGTGAGCCGAGATCCTGCCATTGCACTCCAGCGTGGGTGACAGAGCAAGACTCTGTCTCAAAACAAAAACAAAAACAAAAAAAACCAGATCTAATTCTTTTGAAAACATTAAAATTGGTTGGGTGCAGTGGCACATGCCTGTAATCCCAGCACGTTGGAAGACCAAGGTGGGTTTAGCCTAGGAGTTTGAAACTAGCCTGGGCAACATGATGAAATCCTGTCTCTACAAAAAAATGCAAAAAATGGGCCAAGCATGGTGGTTCATGCCTGTAATCCCAGCACTTTGGGAGGCCGAGGCGGGCAGATCACCTGAGGTCAGGAGTTCAAGACCAGCCTGACTAACATGGTGAAACCCCCAATCTCTACTACAAATACAAAAATTAGCTGGGTGTGGTGGCTCACACCTGTAGTTCCAGCTACTTGGGAGGCTGAGGCAGAAGAATTGCTTGAACCCAGGAGGCGGAGGTTGCAGTGAGCCAAGATCGCGCCATTGAGCTCCAGCCTGGGCAACAGGAGCAAAACTCCATTTTGATATATATATATATGGCAGGGCACAGTTGCTCACTCCTGTAATCCCAACACTTTGGGAGGCCAAGGCAGGTGGATCACCTGAGGTCAGGAGTTCAAGACCAGCCTGACTAACATGGTGAAACCCCGTCTCTACTAAAAATACAAAATTAGCCAGCTGTGGTGGCGCATGCCTGTAATCCCACCTACTTGAGAGACTGAGGCAGGAGAACCACTTGAACCTGGAGGTGGAGGTTGCAGTGAGCTAAGATCACATCATTGCACTCCACCCTGGGCGACAGAGTGAGACCCTGTCTCAAAAAAAAAAAAAGGAAAAGAAAAGAAAAGAAAAATATGTAAATTGCCATTTTCAAAGATACCTGGAAAGATTTTTTAAATCATTCACGAATGCGGTCTGTTCCTTGCAGAGAGCAGATGCACAAAAATAGTGAGAATGAGACCCTATAGTTTGGTCTCATGCTGAAGAAGTCCATAAAGCCCACAAGTCATTTTCATGATGGACAGAAAAATGTATGTGCTTTCTCTGTCTACTGCCTCAACTGCACAGACCCCGGGACTGTAGCAGAGCCATCTTTTGAGCTTGACACTGGGAGGCCCAAATTCTAGCATGGGACCCAGGGCCAGTTGCTCTCTGGTCCTCAGTCTTCTCACCCATAAAATAGGAAGGAGAGAACCCCGAATCGTTGCTTCTAGCTCCTGAACTCAGTTGTTCAGAACAAGGACTCATTGCTGATTTTTCAACAGCACAGAGAATTGCTCTTGTTTCTGGGAATGATGGACAGTACCCTCTGTTCCACTGGGCAAGTGGAACTTCCCAGGCCTCTTTGTTCCCTTCTCCCCTTAGAGAGCAACAGGCTTGGCCCCATCCCACCTACCTCACCCCTCTCTCTCCTCCCTCAGGACTGGGCACCTCGCTGCCCCCGCTGCTGCCCACTCTGCGACTGTGCCTGTACGTGCCAGCTCCCCGACTGCCAGAGCCTCAACTGTCTCTGCTTCGAAATCAAGCTCCGATGAGAACCCAGGGCCCCTGCCCTCTGGAGAGTGGCCAGCCCCCAGGGCCCATGGGCCCTCCTCCCTGAAGAGCCTTTCTCCAGGCCACTGTAACCACAAATGGCCTGCCCAGCACCCAGGCCCGGGAACTGGAAGTGGCAGTGCGGGGCCTGGCTCCCTGCAGGGCGGGACTCTTGGCCGACTGGACGGCAGCTCCTCTGGAGGGCCAGAAGAGAGAGGGGCTACTGCTGGGGCAGGTGTCCTGGCTCCCTTTCCCCTCCCCACGTCAACGATTCTATGTGAAGGTGGGCAGGGGGGTGGCGCTGCTCACCACACACAAGTGTTATAGGAGGAGCCTGGCCCTTGAATACCGGGTACACAAGAGTGCCCGACCACACTCCATCCACGGACTCTCGGTTATTTTAGGAGGTGAGTGTAGTGCCAGTATCTGCTCTCCTTCCTAAAAAAAACCAGGGCTCCAGAGAATCAGAACAGCCACCATCACGGCAGGGAGTCTGGGGAGGAGAGAGATTAGAGGAGTCTGGGAGGGTGGCAGGGAGGCCACGTGATCTGAGTCCCCTCACCCCTTTCCCTCCCACAGGTCCCTGGCCAAAGATTTATTTCTCTTGACAATCAAGGGCCTCCGTCTGGATTTCCAAAGAAGAAATTTCCTCTGAAGCACCGGTGAGTGGGCAAGGGCTCCCTCCCCGTCAACAGGGCCGACCCAAGGCTTCCTCCCCCTTCCTCCATGCCGGGCCCCAGGCTGGTGTGAATGTCAGGGGCTTCAGGTTTCCCTAAATATAGGTCCCTGCCAGAGGATCCGTGGCGGGAAAAGGGCAGGGGTCATCGGAGAAGGTCGGGGACACGTGTGGGGCGGGCAGGAGCCGCCTTATAACCCAGCCCGGGCACCCCTGGCTCACTCGCTGCTGACCAGGCTCTGCCGGCTCCTTCAGCCTTGCCGCAGGTGGGCCCCTTGCAGGACCGGGCCGGGGTGGGGATGGGGTTGGGCCGACAGGGTCCAGATGGGTCCGGGTGAGGAGGGGAGACTTGGACGGTAGGAGCAGGGGGCTAAGCATCTGGGAGACAGATCAGTTCGGGGACGGATTTTATTTTGGAGATGGAAGTCAGGCGCAAGGAGGGCGTTTGGCAGGAACTGTGGCCCCGCATGCCCGAGGCCGAGCAGCGGCCGGTCCATAGCCGCGCATTCTGGTTTTCGGTGGCGCAGAAGACTACCAGCCTGGCTGCGGCGGCCCAGGCAGAGAACGCGCACGCATGCGCGACCCAGCCCGGCCCGCCCGCCGGGAGCTCGCACCGGGAGGCCTCGCCTCCGCGCTTCGCCAGCTCTGCTGCCCTCTCGCGCTGCCTGCGCGTCCTCTCGCTGCCCTTTCCTCCGCCTCTGTTACGCCTGGGCCAGTGACTGGGGATCGGCTCCGCGCGGATCCAGCCCGCGGGCGAGGCAGGCTGAGGCACGACTGCGCGATGTGGCCCCGATGGTGACACGCGCCGCAGCCGCGAAGCGAGAAGCTGGGGCGGTCCCGGGCCGCGGGCCCGGCCTGGGCGACGAAACTCAGCCTCCTTCGTTTCCGACTCTTCTATCCGCATCCCCCACTTCCCGGTCTCCCCCTTCTCCAGTGCCAACATTCTGGCTGAGTCACGGCGCCCCAGAGCGCACCAGGCTGGGGGGAAAGGAGCGGAGGGGCGGGAGCTTGCGACCCGCGGGATGTGGCCCGAGTCACGTCCGAGGGGGGTGGGGAGGGATCGTGTTCTCGGCGCCCGCCCCTTCCTAGCGCGGCCTCTGGGCTGCGCCTCTCAGGGGCGGTCCGTAGCCCAGTCTATCGCCTGCAATTGGACGCCGCCCGCTCCTCGTAAAGGAAAATGCTCGGCGGAGGGCGGAGTGGTGCCTTTAAAAGGCCAGGCGCTGCCTTCCTCTTTCCCGCCCCCTGCGCCGCCCCCTCCGAGGCTGAATCGGCTGCGTTCCTCTCGGAACGCGCCGCAGAAGGGGTCCTGGTGACGAGTGCCGCGTTCGCTCCCTGAGTCCACTCGCCAGCCCGCCGCCCTCTGTCGCCGCACCCTGCACACCCGCCCCTCTTCTGTGCCAGGTGAGCGCCCCTCTTCACGTGCAGGGACCAGGGACCTTGGAGAGGGATCTTGGGGGCAGTGGCGGGTTGGGCGTCCTCGTGGAGCACCCCACCCCATGCCAGCGTCTCCCTACTACCAGCCACACACAGGCTCTCCGGCTCCTCCAGCCTGAGGTCCCATAACTGCGCAATGCAGCGGCAGCGCGTGCTGAGTCATGGCGGGGGAGGAAGCCGGATGAGATGAAGGACCATTCCCCTCCCCTTTTCTTGCAGGGACCCCGTGGCAAAGGATTAGGGCCCCTTAGCCCTGGCGGGGATCCTAAGAGCCACTGAGGGGTGGGAGTCGGCCCGTGTACAGCCCCAGGGTTCTCGCAAGCGGGAGGTTGGTTTCTGCCCTGGGAAACGGGCCGCCCCTCGTGAGGAGGGGAAACCCCTTGGCGGTGCTTGATGCCCCATTAACGCTTTCCCTGTCTCTCCTTATCGGGCGACCTTGATTCTGAGCCCGGAACAGCTGCAGCCGTGCGAAGCGACAGGAGCATTTTTCAGGGGAAGGCGCTTGCCCGTAGGAACAGTGACGACGGCAAAGCTTACCGCTTTCCTTGCCTCGGGCTAGGGCTTGTTCCGCCGCCCTTTCCTGGGCTTCTCGTTGCTCTCTTATCTTTTTCCTAATACCCCTTTCCTACCACCCACCCCCTCCCTTGTGGGGAAAAGCCTGACCTTGGGATGTCCTTGAAGACTTGGAGCCCGGGCCAGCCCTGGGATCTTGGGTGGATTGGAAGGAACACCCCAGTGGCAGTCAGAAGAGCTGGGTTCTAATCTCAGATCTGGCTCCGGGGTTGCTGTGTGGCTTGAAGCACAGACTTTACCCTTATCTGGGCCCTTTCCCACGAGGGTGTTGGGCCCTCTGCTCGATTCAATCTTTACATTCTAAAATACTCCGGTTCGGTTTTGTTTTCAGGCAAGGTGACCCCATGGCAAGGCGCAAGCCAGAAGGGTCCAGCTTCAACATGACCCACCTGTCTATGGCTATGGCCTTTTCCTTTCCCCCAGTTGCCAGTGCGCAACTCCACCCTCAGCTGGGCAACACCCAGCACCAGACAGAGTTAGGAAAGGTACAGGGGCAGGCCTAGTATAGGGAAGTTGGGCCTACGGGAGAGCTGGGGACCAGAAGCGCCCCAGGGCCTGCTGGGTGTGGGGCAGGGGAGGTAGGGAACGTTTCCCTGACCTCCAGGCGAGGAGCCCTGCTCATTGGGAGATGATGGGAAACCCCAGCTAACTAGTCCTTCCCCTGCTTCCTCTACCCAGGAACTTGCTACCACCAGCACCATGCCCTACCAATATCCAGCGCTGACCCCGGAGCAGAAGAAGGAGCTGTCTGACATCGCTCACCGCATCGTGGCACCCGGCAAGGGCATCCTGGCTGCAGATGAGTCCACTGGTGCGGGCAGGAGACAGAATGGGTGGAGGGTGCAGGGTTAGGAGTGGCAGGCTGGTCCCCTAATTCCCATGTGACACTCCCAGGGAGCATTGCCAAGAGGCTGCAGTCCATTGGCACCGAGAACACCGAGGAGAACCGGCGCTTCTACCGCCAGCTGCTGCTGACAGCTGACGACCGCGTGAACCCCTGCATTGGGGGTGTCATCCTCTTCCACGAGACACTCTACCAGAAGGCGGATGATGGTCGTCCCTTCCCCCAAGTTATAAAATCCAAGGGCGGTGTTGTGGGCATCAAGGTGAGGGGCAGGGCCTCAGGATGTGAGGTTTGAGATGGAAATGGAGGAAGGAAATCCAGGTTAGTGAGGCAGGGAATGAATGCTGGATAGGAGGCCTAGAGACTTGCATGGAGCCTGCTTCAGGCTTAGGGCATTTACTCGACATTTTTAATCCTCACAATTCTAAGAGAACAGTATTATTCCCCCTTTACAGATGAAAATCTCAGAAGCTCAGGGAAGTGAAGTGTTTTGCTCAGAGTAAGTGGCAGAGCCCCAGTCTCCTGACACCCAATTCACTCAACATATCTGTTGTCAAATATCCCAGTGTATCCTGTCTCAGAGGATTGTTACTAAGTGAACTAAGTGAAAATATTTTAATTTAATTGTAACTAAGTATTTTAGCAACTAAATATTAAGTAGTTTTTTTTTGGTTTTTTGTGTTTTTTTTTATTTTGGACAGAGCCCTGGCTCTGTTGCCCGGCTGGCAGTGAGTGGTGCGATCTTCAGGCTCACTGCGAGCCTTCAACTCCCGGGTTCACCTCACGCATTCTTCTGCCTCAGCCTCCGAGTAGGCTGGGGACTACAAGGCGCCCGCACCAACGCCAGCATAAAAATTTTTTTTTTTTTATTTTTAGTAGAGACGGGGTTTCACCATGTTAGGCTAGGATGGTTCTCAATCT